AAAGGGGCTAGGATCCATTCTTTTGTCTTGATGACAACTGCCACAGCTCATGCCTCCATAAGTGAATTTTCTTATTTCTCCAACCAGAATGTCCTCATTGGAAACATCGTTAGCCCACACTATGCTTCAGAGTGTGCCTGGGCATTGCCTGGGACAGATCCAGGGAATTCAGGCCATAACAGGGCCAGGGACCATGCCAAATGCTACGTGTCCTAGGCAGTCCTCAAGTCCATGGTAGGACTAATACAGGTTAAAGGATCCCTGAATTGCCTGACTGGTGGATATCCATCCCTCTGGGGTGCAGTCCAGAACCACTTGTTGGACATTTTGAATGTCTTCGGCAAATGCCTGGGGGAACCTACGTTCCCAGGGCTGACCAAACACAGCAGGCAAGATGATGCCTGAAGGGATTGTCTTCAACCCTGCGTGCAGCTGAAAGAAGAGGAACCTGCAGATGTAGAGTTCATGTCCTTGGACTCCCCTTTTTTCTCTCAGAGCACTGAGCAGAACTCACTTATTTTTCTAAAAATACAGCAGGTGAGGGAGTTTTCCTCCCATCTGCAGAAGTACACCTGCTTTTTAGCCTAGAGTTTAGTGTGTTTAAGCCAGAATTTGAGAGATGTGAATACAATTTCTTTCTCTGCTTGGAGAGGTTCAATTTCCCATCTCAGACAGGGTGTGCAAACCACCAAAGTGAAGCACAGGCATGAGAAGAAAGGGGTAAGAGCTCTTTACAGGTTAACTGAGTCAGCGCTGGGACTCTGGATTTCTCTCTGATACCCTCTATGTGGAGACATGTGAGTTTTGTATCAAACAGCCCCTGGAAGAAAGACCTAAAGAACTCCTAGGGGAAGGGTGCTCACCGAGCCATGCTTACACTTTCACCCTTCTCCACATGAAACCTGCATTCCTTTCTGCCCAGTGGCAGTTTCATCAGGAGGGTGGAGAGCAACTCCACCCGAACAAGCCTACAGTCTTGTCATTAGCGCACACCCGAGAGAGGTGGAAGCTTCGATTAGCTGAACACCTCATCAAGCATCACTGCAGCCATGGGTACATGATTTCCCGCTAGTGAGTCAGAGATGAAGATGGTAGAGCCCACAGGCACAGTCATCCAAATGGTCCCGAGCAAAAATCTACCCTCCCTGAATCACAGGAGCTGAACTCAAGTTGGCTCAACACACTGATCGGTAGTCGCTCTATTTTCCTATACTCCAGCTATCACCATGGTATCTGCAAACCTCATAGCAGACTCCATCCTGCAAAGCAGCTCCCGAGAAAGATGTTGACATCAGGTAGACGGATGTCATGGCTACAGTGCCACAGCCGCAGTGACAAATATGGTTAGTTGATGATCATCTCATGACAGAAGGATCCGTTCTGCTTGCACCTGGGACTGGAGTGGCTGTTGCTGTAAGACAACATCTAGTTCTGGGTTGGGCGATGCAGGGGAGAAGGTGGTAAATCAGAGGTGGTTCAGAGAAGGACCACTGGAAGGGTTAAAGCCCTGGAGGACAGACCTTCTGAGAAGGAGTCAAAGAGCCCACCAAAGTCGATCAAAGCGATATCCTAGACAAAAAGCATCTTCATGGGGAAAGTAAAATCACAACAGTGAGCAATTAAGTTTAGTAGAGGGGTGTAATGAGAGCCACTGGCTGTGGAAGCTGCATAAATCAGAGCAGAAATATTTTACAGAAGGGTAATTTTACACATGGCTGATAACCAACCACTGGAACAGCTTATCAAAGCTTGGCGTACACTTCTGTCACAGGACATCTCTACAAAATTCAGTTTCTTTTTAATTTAAACAGGAATTAACTATAACAGAAGTTAGATCAGATAGTTATAAAGCACATCGCCGCCTTGCCTCTGAACACTGAATTTACATCATCTGCCTTTCCTTGCATATGTGATAAGCAGAGAAGGATTATATCTACCCAGATTACCTTATAAATAAGGACAGTCTCACAGGGACAGGCTGGTAGTGGTTTTGGATTGATACCTCTGAAAATTCAGAGAGGCTTTTGGCACACAAGTCTTCCTCCCTACACACCATGCCTCATTTATATTCTCAGATCTTCAGACCTGAAGTGACATTTCAACTGAAGTCCCTTATGGCTCCTGTCAGTCAGTGCTCAAAACCTTGCTCAGGGTTTATTCCACCACCAACAAAGACAGATGGGAATTTAGGTCCTCCTGAGTCCTACAAGCTGTCTAAGGCTGTCCTAACTGCTATATCAAACCACTTCTTTCACATATTTATCAAGCTCCATCTCAAAGCAGGTGGGATTTCTACCCTGCCTTTGTTTTTAGAAAGAACACAACTTTTCCTAGTGTTTAAGACCCTACCTCTGATTGCCAGTCCCATTTAAATCACGCTAGTCTTAGCTCTAGTGCAGTGTGATGTTTTAGCTTACAGAGCTTTTCTTTCTGTAGCTCTGTTTTCAATGTCTGCAATGTATTTCTGGGGAAAAAATCGTATCTCCACACAATCTCTGCTCTGCTAAGCTAAAAGGGGACGGTGTTTTCCAGTGTCATCCTTTCAGGTGAATCCTGTTCTCCCAGTCTTCCCATTAGTTTCCATCTGCCTTTTTTTTTTTTTCCATCAGGACCCCATTTTTTCTTGATAGGGGCAATGAAATTCCAGGTGAGAAGCCTCCAGGGCTTCATGCCAGGGTGCTAGCACTTCCATAATCACCCTGCTAACAGCCTCCCTTAGACCCCAACACACAACTTGACATCACCTGTGTTTGTCTTTGTTTTCAGGGCTCCATCCTGAGGCTCCTAGTTATCGTTAGATCAGCTAATACCTGTAGGCTTTCCCTTTCCTCCACAAACTTACTGGCACGCTCCCAACTTCTCTCTCCCTGAAGTCTGGCACTTTCGCACCCTCAGCCAGTCTGCAGGAGCTTTAACAACCCCAGCTCCTGTGGTTTCCTGATGCCTTGCCTTAACGGCCAGATCTCAAACCTTTTCAAGCCATTAGACAGAGTTAAGTGGCTGTGCACTGGCCAGAGGCAAACAATCCTACCGCGCTGATACATCCCATGACCGGTGATGGACAGCCTCCACCAAGCTGGACAGACTCATTTAGTTTCCTATTTATATCACTAGTCCTTCAACCACACTGATATATTCCAAGGATTTCTCAGTATGCAATGCCTTTCAAGTGCAGGCAGACCATTAAAACATGCCTGTGTGACATCTCCATTTCAGCAAGGTATACAGAATCTGTCAAGCAACGTTTTAGTGTTGTGAACGCTGGAGTGCCAACCCTGCCATGCTTAGCTATTGAGGTATAACCACCTTGAATGCTTAAAGCACTGGATCTTTTCCAGTATCATGGGTGTTAATTAAGATATTGCTCAAAAGTGCCTTGAACTGCCCAGTTACAAGAAAGGATCTGGATGTAATCAGGTCTGGTGGCTTTCACAGAGCTGAGTTTTTCCTATATACCCAGAGAGGTATATCTGCTGCTCTGACAGCACAGCAAGATAATATAAAGATAAATTATAGTTTTCACTCTCACAGCTAAGAGAGCATTAGGGTGCACATCTTTCCCTCCCTTTCCCACGGCACAGTACTGATTCCACCACCCCAGCTCGATCAGCTTTGTGTCATCCATGACTGTGGAAATTTTCATTAGCAATGCTTCTCGAGTTACTGAGAACCGTTTAGGGAGCAGCGCTTCCCAAAAATCCTCATTCTCAAACTGGGAGAAAAAGGATAGGCTGCTGGGAATGGTAGCAATGTCCATGTGCATTGCCACAACTAACCTTTGACATTAATGACCCCCAGTCATTAAATCAGCTTGCGCACTCACTTTGTCTCCATCCCTGAAGTCTCTGAGTGCTTCACAGTGACTCACAAACTTTCCTTCATTGGCTTATTCAGCTGTTTTAAGGGAAATAGCATAATGCTGGGGTTTTCCACTCTGGATCACAACAACAACAACAACAGAAAGTCTATCAATTTTTCCTCTGAAATATAAAATGCCATTGGCTCAGTCAAAAGGGAGGAGCAAAGCATTTCTCCCTAACTGCACGCTTTTTAAGCTGTTTCCACAAATACTGTATAAATTAAAAAAAAATTATTATGTTTGAAAGGGTTGCCTTGAAATGCATAAAGTGAAATTTTCTATCAGGAAGGTACTGCAGTGGGAAAATTGAATCATTCCTCCACATTGGGTTTATTTCCCAGCTTCAGAATAAAATTAGGTGAATAGCTGACAGTTTTACAAAAGAAGGCACAGTACCCTGCTCTGCCAGCATGACCCAGGACTTGAAATAAAATGACATATCCAAATTCCAGACTTGGAAACACCATCTCCCATGCTCACCTCCACTGGCCTTTCAGTGACTCCCATGCCCAGCAGCTCAGCACCAGGGCTCGGTTAATAACTAAGCCCCTGGGAGCCAGAAACCAGGCTTGCTTTTGCACTGGATTTGGGAAAATAGACATGTTTTGGGTAAACCCAGCCACGCCAGCTTCCCGCTTGCCAGCCCAGGGAGCAGTAGGCATGAGAACATGGCACAGGTTTTGGTGAGGCTGAGCCAGCATGTGTGGAAGCCCAGCCCGCTGCCGCTTGCATCTTGACTGTTGTTGCCCAATGCAACACACATGACACAACCCAGTTCTTGGCTCGCGGAGCCAGACGTGAAGGAACAAACATATCTTGTCACATTCCCCATCCAAGCACTGGCGTGGGGCCACCCCTTGCAGTGCAAGATGTGTTTTTCCTTTTCCATGGCACCAGCCCCAGGACATAAACCTGAAGAAGAGATGACGTATGAGAGGAGTCTGCTTGTTGCGGTGACGTCACCTCCTTGGGGAACTTGTTTCTCTACAAATCCCAATCCAGTCTGGAGCTGAGTTCTCCCCTGATCACGCCGAGGGAATCCGCCCACAGGATCAACAAGAGGTGGAGGGTGGGAAAACATATAAAGGTCCCTGGGAGCAGCTCTCCTTTACTGCCCTGGCTGCACGCATCTGCTCTCAGCATGAAGACACTTCTGGTTGGGCTCCTGCTTGGCCTGGCATTCATGGAGTTGGGTAAGACCGCTGCATTCCTGACACCCCGGGGACCCCCTGGGAAATGCCTGGGAGGGGAGGGGAAAGGCATCAATAGAAAAAGATCTGGTCATCTCCAGGTAGGGGAAATAACACCCTTATGTATTTAAGAAGGTCAGTGGAGAGGGTGAATGGGGAAAGAGGATATGCATGCCTGGCAGGGAGAGATGTGACACTTGACAGAGAGCCATTCACATCATTTGGATGCATAGGTGGTTGACTGACACCCAACCCTGCTCATACTGTACCCTGGGATGGAGGGGACCAACACGTCGCTTTATAAGACTAAGGAGTGAATGACAGTCACATGGCATAGGGCAGTACAAGCTCTTAAGCTGCCAACTTTTCCCCTCAAGGATGGGATGGGGTATGTTCATCCTGAGCTCCTGCCATCCTTAAAACCTCCCAGCTGGCTGCTGGAAGCTCTGAAAACCAGAGGGTGAGGCTTCAGTACAGATATGGGCAAGGATATGAGAAATAACTCCAAGGATTTTGGAAAGGTTCGTTTAACCGCCAGCTCTAGGGTTTTCACTAATTTCTAGAGATTAGGGTATAGGTGGAGATAGGCAATTCTTCTGGGTTTGTTTAGGTTTGGTGTCTGACAGGGATGGGTCTTGGGCAAGCTGGTAGCAGGGTCTGGTCATTGCTGTGTTCTTACTCCATCTATTTGTGACCCACTGCAAATACATCCTTGGCCTGGAACAGAGTCATCCTTGGGGTGACACCAACCCAGTGGGTTTTAACCTACAGCCCATGGGCCCCAGAGATCCTCACACTGCTTTCATGGGACTCTGAAAGATCTCAGAGGAAAGGCAGCCTGGGCAGAAGTTGAACACCTTTATCTGGAGGCATGGCTACATGGAGATCATTCAAAGGGTTGCAAATGCAAGAAGGTTGAAAGGCATACGTCCTGCAATTCTTTATGCAAGGAAGTGTTTTGGGTCTCTTCTTCAGGCTGCTTTGCTTTTTTTAATCCCCCTACCCTCATTACTCTTTCTACCTGTCTCTAAAGCAAACCCAACTGCTGGCTGAAGGACATGGTCTGGGTCAAACCCACCACAGGACTGAACTAGGACAGGGGTGGTTACTTCTATACAGCTACTGCAATTTTTTACATTTCAGTACCTGTTGGTTTTCTTTTTTTCTTTCTTTCTTTCTTTCAAGAAGTTTCACAGGAGTTTCTTTTCCTCCTTCTGGGTCTAGGCCTGTCCTGGATTTAATGGGTTTGCTGAGGAACTGACAGAGCAGATTTCTACCCAAAGGTCTCAGAGTGCTTTATGGAAACAGAGACACATCACCACTGTTTGCTTTATAACTGAGAAGGAGGCAGAAATGGAATTTCTGGGATGATCCAGTGGGAGGCAACTGGTCTAAGCACAGCTCTTGCAGCTGAGGAATATGTCTGTGACCATTTGTCTTCCAGGCATTTGATATCAAGGGGTAGAAAGTACTGTTGGACAGTGATGAATGGTGAATTATTGGCTTCAGATCAGGACACAGCACTCTCCTCTATGTTCAGTTCTTCTCTTCTGTTCTGGTCCTTATGGTTTTGGGCTTTCTTCTTCCACTGCAACCTTCTTACAAAATCAATGTCCTCTGAGTGGCCCACCCAAAGTCAGTGAAAGATAAGGAGGCTGAGAATTTTCTTCCTTAAACGTGCTTTTAACTGGAAGTAACTCCCTCAGAGCCCATGGCACTGCCCTGCTCACCCATGAAAATGGTAAGGTTTGGAAACCTGCTCAACCCAAAGGTTGCAGATCAGTTTCTCAGATGCTTTAAGCTAGCACTGCTCCATCCAGCCATCCATTAGCCAGTCCTACACACTCACAAACATCCCTATGCTTGTCAGGTTGACAATGTTGTGCGTTCTCTCTCAGTGGGCACTACATGTTAAAATATAAAACAACCTCTCATGGGTCATTTGGAAAGGTTCTACCAAGGTCCTCAGCTCGGGTAAACAGGGACAGCTCCAGCGCACCTATTTACAAAGGATATGGCCATGAGAACACCAGCACTGCTCACATTTAAAAGTCCTTCCTACCTCTGCAAAGAGGACAAAGAAGGTTTTTGCATCGTGTAGGTTCTATTGCACAGCTGAATTTTCCAAAGGAGGTGCTGAAAGTAGTAGATGCTCTGAAAATTCTTTCTAGAGTCAGGTGTTCAAACAGCTGCCTTCAAAAATGTTTATCCTTATCACAAAGTCCCAGAGGTTTCTCTCTTAACAACAGATGCTGCAGAACTAGAACAAGAAAACATCGTCTCTCTGCAATTTTGCCAATAGATGGCAGTGGACACATTTGGGTGGTTCTTCAGCTGCCGTGTTGCTAGAAGGCAGGTAGGATAGAAAATATCAAACCAGGCTGGTTTCTGTCATCAAGCCACAGCAGCACGACTCCAAAAAATATGCACACTGGGTATCTGCCAACTGCGGACGGACGGGTCTCATACCGAGAATTTTGAGCAACTGCTGTGATCAGTGCTTGCATATATAAAGATGTCCCTCTTTTGGCAGGCAGCCAGCAAGAGCTCTATAGCATCATCTCCTTTAAAAAGCAGCAGTAGCCCCTGATGAAAGTATTTTTTAGGCCACATCGAGCCCTTAGGATCTCTGATATGGCTCTGAAATTTAAATTCTGCTCTCAGTTACAAAGTTCTGCAGAAATCCCTCTAAACAAGCCCAAAGAAGCTGTCACTGTGGGTGGAGGGATGGGGGAACTGCCAGTCTTTCAGTGCTGGTGAATGCTGCTCTCAACGGAAGGAGCTATTTTGCTCTGTGTTACAGCATTTCTTAGAGAGGATGCAAAGATCCTATCACAGCTGCTCAAGCAATAGATCCTTCTAGATCCCTGCTCTTTTTGGGCTGCTGAGCCCCCAAGGTAGTGATCACGCTCAACTCCCGCAACACCAGCCTTGTCCTTTGGTGCTGGGCTTTGGTCTTTCCCCCCTGCCATATCTAAGCTTTGCCTTTGCCTCCAGATGTGCTTAGTTTCTGGGATCACTGCATCTTGGTCTGGGCGGGGGGATGAAGCACTGACCATCACGTAGTCCCCACCCCAGATCAGAGAACCTGCAGACTTGCTGTCTGTCTTCACTGCTGCGACCACCTCAGACCCATTCTGTTCCCCTCTGCAGCCCAGTCCCTACGATGTTACACGTGCAAGGAACCAACGGACATTGATCGGTGCAGAACAGCCACCCTGTGCCCCCCGAAAGCCACCGTGTGCACCACAACGCTGCACTCTGTAGACTCGGGTAAGTTTCGTTTCTTGATTGGAGTGCTCGCAAGGAGAGATCATGGAATTACAGAATGGTTTGGGTTGGAAGGGACCGTAAAGATCATCAGGACTCACTCTGCTTACTCTGTTTTACCTTTCCTACCCCTATGCCCTTATGGACCCTGAACCTGTAGATGTCTGCAAACATACCGCAGAAACCCAGGGGCTCTCTCCTTGTTTGTAGATGCTTTCACCTAACACCAACTGTCTCACCAATGACCATGCCAGCGTTACACCAGCGCTTCTTGGCCCTGCCAACTTCTGTGCAGAGCCGTTGCAGGAGCAACTCACCTGAACAAAATAGACAGGGACTTGTGTTCCTTGTCCATGCTACAATAAATTTGGAAGGAGGAGGAGGGAGAGAGGGACTCGGCAGGGAGAACTGGCAGACCTGTTCCTACAAAGAGCAGTCTGGATTACAGGCACCCATGGATTAGAGATGCTCAACACCTTGCTTGCCTCTATTTACCTATAAACACTTTACTTTTAATTCCCCTCCATTAAACAAAGTCAGTGTTTCTCAATGCCAGCTGTCTGCACCTTCCTTTGCGATTTCTTTCTCTCTCTTATCCTCCTCCTCCTCTCCAATCTGCCTGTTTCAGGTTACCCCTTTTTCGGCAACATCACCGTCACCAGAAGCTGTGAGGAGGAATGCCTCGCCTATAACGGGATAGGGGCAACCAGACCCAAGTCATGCTGCTACACCGACCTCTGCACCGATGACACCAAGAGCAGCAATGGGGTGGCAAGCAGCTCTGCAGCGCTGGGTCTGATGGCCATGGTTTTTGGGACGGTCCTCCAGTGTGCTCTGTAACGTCGCAATGGCCCGTGCTCCAGCCAAAACACCCCCCCCTCCTCTCTGCCAAGCTGTCTCATGAACATTTAGATGCCTTGGGAATAACTTTCGCCGATGTGTGGCTTCATCCATCTTCAATGCTGTGAATTCAAGCGGATTCAAGCCAAGAGTTTGGGCACCTGGACCTAAAACCCTCAAATTTCCAGTTTCCAGCTACTAAGCAGATGTTCCTCGCCTTCAGCTGCTTCTGGTCCTCAGGACCCACATCTTCCCTTTTCCTCTGTGGGGAGCAGTAGTGGATGAAGCATTGCAGCTCTGCACAGCAGGAGGGACCGGGCAGTGCCATGAAGGCTGGCGTTCTGGCATCATCAGCAAGAGCAGGGGCTGTACACACACTGAACATGGACAGTGCTTTTTTTCCCAGGTTTCCCCAAGCTCCCACACAACCTGTGCCTGTATGCCTCCAATAAATCCCTATGCACAACCCCCGAGAAAATCCTGCAACACTCCGACAGGAGCTTGGCTTATTTTCTTTCCACTTCTGGTGTCATCTCCTGAGTCAGAGCAGCAGGTGGATATTTGTTCCCACTTACTACCTGCTCAGCAGAGCGTGGCTTGCAACTGCAGAGAGCTGGCACTTAATTCTGTCTAGAATAAGCTATGGAATGAGTTCAGAAGGGCTCAGCCTTCATGTGTTGAGCTGGGATGTATTTCTGTAAAGCTCTAAACATGCCCTGGACTAACAGGCCAGGGCAAGTTAGACCTGCAAAAGCAAATTTGGGAGTTTGGCTAGCCAAAACCCTCAGGAGCCCTTTGCCTGAGCTCGGGTTGCAGTCAGAGCTCCTGAATTTCCCTTCCCAGATGATTTACAGAGCATTTCAAGCAACTTCTTCTGTTACTCTGCCCTCCTCCATCCCTTCACAGCAGGGACTACAGGAAAGGAAAAGTAATGATTATCCCAGATCCTCAACTCTGGGAAATGCCAACGGCTTTACTCACACTGGTTAACAGCACTATTGTGTCCCAGCTGAGGATTTGCTCCATTCTCCCTTGCAGCAGCTGTAAGATTGATTTTGATGCCCTGTCTGCTGTAAAAACAGATGGAGAGGAAGCAGATACAAATGAGCCAGGCGTGCCCAGCTCGCAGACCTCTCTGGTCGGGAAGAGCTGGGCAATTTGCCATTTGCTCTGTTCCTATTGCCAGGGCTCGTCCAGGGGAGCAGGAGGCAACCTGCAGGAGCAAGGACAGAGTGGAGCATGGGTATATCCCATGCACCATCCTTGTGTGTTCATGCCATCCCTGCAACCTCCCCTGTGCAAAGTCTATTTTTTCTCCATTTTTTTTTCCCCATTTTCCACTCTGTTTCCATAAGGCATCAGCCAGGAAACCAAAGGAATAAGCAGAGGGCCTGTTTTTTTCATTGCACAGAGGAAATTGTTTCTCAAGGTCTGTCTCAGTACCATTTGCAAGAAAACTTTGACAAGGCATTGTGTTCCTTGGCAGAGGGCCCTGTGCAAGCCTGGGGCTCAGGAGGATGATGAGCCCTTTTGTTCTGGAGGTGAAATGCTCTGTGCTTCACTAGAACACTTACAGTTTCCCTGCAACACCCTTGCAATGCTGAGGTCTGTGGAGGGAAAATGCCATTGAGAGTATAATGATTGTGAGTTACTCAAATACTGATGTTACACCCACCCTTGCAGACACAGAGCACCAGCTTCTGCTTCCTACTCGTCTGTTCTCTGTTTCCCTGCTTCAAAAACAGTCTGATGTGTCAGGCCACATCAGCAAACCACCATCACTGCCATCCTTAGATCAGATCCACTTTTCTATTCTGGATTCAAGCTCTGGAGTCAGGCATTGTCCCCAGTGGCTTTTCCATGCTGGCTGCAGGGTCCTGTGCCATGCTAACATGGGCTGAACTTTCCTCCATCTATTGCACACGCAGATGGGGCAGGGTCTGGATAGAGGGACTGGGAGGGTAAGGATTCCCTTCTGGGTGAGAATCTAGCAAATAAAGTTGGATCTTCCAGTTTTAAGCCTGCAGCATCTTTCTTGTGCGCTCAGCCTTCACCTAGGAAAGGAGCGTGGAGCAGCACAGGTTGCAGGGAGGGCATGTCTCTGGTTGGTTTTCTGCAGCTCCCCAGCTGCCCTGTGGCAGAGAGGGGAAAAGCTACAGAAGGGGACAAGCAGGGGAATGCAAAAATACTCCTTTGAAGAGCTAGATTTAAGGCTATCCCCATTAGAAGAGGAGGGGGAGAAGGGTAACGTACTGTTCAACATTACAGGAGGCTCATCTGGGGCATGCACAGAGAGACCAGGGAAGGGTTCGTGGTGCAGCTTCTCTTGCAGCAGGCAAAGAGAAAGCAGCTGAGCTCAGCACAGCAAGGCAAGCAGGCGGCTGGGAGCAATTTTTCGGGGTCCCCTCTGCGCTGCAGGGATGCTGCAGGTGGGACCCACTGCCCTCCTTGTGTCACTGGTTCTGGCTGCGAGCATCCTGCATCACACTGCGCTGCACCTGGGACTCGCCAGTTAACGTGGCTCCATCAGCAGAGCAGCGAGCTTCCACCTTAGCCAAAACAGAGCCAAAGGCAGGGTTTAGCTTCAAAGCACTTGTAATATGTTCCTACATTAGGCGAGGTGAAAAGCCCTTCACCCAGAGTGTCAGGTGTACAAAATGTCCTTTTGCGTTAATATTCATCTGTTCACACAGTGTTAGCTGTAAGCCACAGGCTGAACTGTCGTCACTGGCAGCCCTTGCAAAGTTTGATTTGCTGCTGGTTAGGCTATTGCTTTTATTTCTTCTTGCTATTTGGTCCCTAGGAGTTAAACCCAACGAGTACTACTGCCCCAGCAAATGCAGGACACTGCCAGGGGATTCAAAGGAGTTGGCAGACTTTTGCGTCACTGGGTCGAGTGGACATACGGAGGGAGAAGTTTAAATATAGTCTGAATAAAATAGAACAGAGAAAGATGTGTCTCCAAAGGGCCATAAAAAGTCTTGCAGCCTCTCGGCCCTGCAAGATGAGGCTTCAAAGCAGGCGGCATCCAGCGCTGCTGTTGCTGTGTTGGAGGATTTTAACTGCCCCCCTGGGGGCTTGTTCTTCCCAGAAGTCATTCTGTGCACGTCCAGAGACTTTATCTCCTTATGCTCTATCTGGCCAAGAAGTTGCTTTTTCCATCACCTTCCAGCCCTTCCGCAAATGTGGGGCAGCCCTACAGATGTGCAGCTGCCCTACAGATGTGCAGTCCTGATCTGCATCACCTGCTTTCAGTTGTGAATCTGCAAATGCTTTCGTCCATCTAGAAATTAAAGCATGGCAGAGACTAAACTTTCAGGGAGGCGTCTGCAGACCCACATTGGTGAGGGTATTCAAACTGGTCTACCATGTTGAGTCCCATCTCCAGCCAGCCATCAGGGCGATATGTCTGCCTTGTGTGGCCTTTCTTCGTGGGTTCCATGAGTCTTGAAGGTGGAGTGGATATTTCAGTGGATAGTTCCTCCTCTGGAAACACAGTGCACAACCAGCCTTGGCTTGGGCTGGATCAAGACCCAGGTTCATTCATGCTGCTTTAACTTGGGCAAGATTCCCACAAAGGTATCACTGGCGCTGTGGGCAAGAAAAACTACACAAACAGCATGATTAATACTTAGAGGACCAGGGTTTCCAGCAGGGATCATTTGCGGTTGCTTTCCACAGCAGGACACTGGTCACATCATGTGTAGCCATGAGTGGTGGTAGTTATCCTGGCATACCCTGATTGCAGGCTGGTTCAAGCTGCAAGGTGGAAAACAGCAGGAGCTGTTTTGCTGCTTGATTTCTTTTAATTTTATATATTTTGTCTTCTTTGGGATGGAGGGGGGGGGTGGGGAAACCATACAGCTCTTTTGGTAGGTGCATTAATCCAGGTGGGCATGAAAGAAAAAGGGACAAGACAGGGGCAGAAATTATTGCAAAATGCCAAGAGAAGAAAAAAGAATGGGATATTTTTGCAGTCCAGACATTTAATGTAAAACAGAGCTCTGATGTAATCAAATACAGAAAGAACTCGTAGTTCTTGCTAAAAATACCTATCTAGAATATAAATATACATTAGCATGTAGCTGCAAGGCTTATGGAGATATCTGCCACAGTCTTATATTTACAGATAGGGATTTAAATGTTTAATACTGCACATTCAAAAGAAAGTCACTTCATCTGAAGTAGCTATTAATTATAGAATGCGCTTGGCAGGACTGAAGTGCAGCAGGAGTGATATCATTTTCAATATCACTCCCAAATTATTTCTCATCTAAAACCTATCATGTGCACTTTTTTTTTTTTTTAAAGAGATCTATTTTTCCATATTAGGACTTGAATGACTTGGAATGGCTGTCTCTGACACACCGGCACATCCTCTCTCAGATATCTTCATTGCTCTCCTGCACAACTCTCACATCCCTAATTCCAGAGAAATACAAATCCAAAGCCTCTTTACTCAGTATGGCCCCAGGTCTGAGAACAAGACAAATCCCCTAAAAATGAGGTGAAAGGAAACTATAGGGTGTCTGAAGCGGGTAGGTAGAGGGGGCAAGGGAGGTAAGCACAGCATCATGGTTGGTATCTCAATTTAGCAAAGTCATTTTGGGTCACGAGAGGGATGCTTAGAGTATTGTAAAAGGATGGGGCAGATGGCCCGTGTCTGCATTAACTGCCTTCGCTGCATGCCTTCATCCCCATTCCCTGGGGCTCCAGTCTACAGTTTGCCACGAGGTTTTAAAAAATACTAAGTGTGTCAGTTAATCATTCTGTGCCCTACCTGAGGCTGGTCTGGATCCTGATTCCCTTTCCCTGGTCAGTCCCTACTAAACAGACAGGAATTGTCACACATTGGTAGCTCCAGACATGGTCTTGCAACACATCTTTAGTGCCAAATGAGCTTTAAATTTCTGAACACACTTAGTAAATGTGGGTAAGGACATTGTGCCTTGGGGTGAACCAATTTTGCACTAGTCCCTTGTGGCCGTATTGCTGAAATC